CCTCCTAGGTTCTCATTGCAGCTTGCCCTGTAAGCTCAATGCTATAAACTTTGGTTTAGAAACTTTCGGATTTGTAACTTCTTAGGAGAGATGTACGCTCTTATGCATGCGTTATGGAATAAGAGCACTGGTCGTCACATATTTTGAGTAGACTTCAAAAAATTCGTCAAATCTCACAATATCTGCAAAAGGCGACTCAATGTGTTTCCAAGCAAAGAAGGAAAGCACCAGAAACCGATCAAGTGATACAATTAAAATTTTGAAAAATCAAATATGTGGTGCACAGAGCCTTAGTAAGCTGGCTCTATCCCGTTACATACACTTAAATCACTCAAGGGATCCGAAAACGATCAATATTTTGAGGCCGCCGATCTGCCGAGCCGCTGCCTTGAAGTGCAAAAGAAGAAAAACAGGGATCGCACTGATGCGCTTGTTCACGGATTACTGCAACGATTGGCAGCAGGATGTGAAAAAAAACAGTAGTTCGCAAAGATCTTTCAACGGATTGTCCACCATTGGATGACAAAATGCTTTGGGAAATTCGAAAATTCTTTCGAATATTTGAATTTCGATATTTGAAAATCAAAAAATTCATATATTCGATTTTCAAATATACTCGAAAACTAGAAATTTCGATTATTTGACTTTCGAATTTTATTCGAAATCGCGTATTCTCGAATATTCGAATTTTCGAATCATTCGTACGAAGATTTATTCGAATTGTCGAATAATCATTCTATACGTTCCAAAGTATAGGGCTTTCGAAAAAAGTGCGATAGCGCACGACACGGACGCATCTCCCGGCACCCGCATTTTTTAGCTTTCATTTTCACTCAAATAGTTTTTCTGCTTACATATGACAGTAATTAGACATTGGAAGAGACAGCTGGGAGTTGAGGTGATCCCGTTTCATATGATGTTCTCTCCTGTGGGCGCAAAGACCGCAGTCAAATCCGTCGTCAAGATTTTGCAAACGACCTATATAGCTGCTACCCTTAGTCTGCGTCTCTGACTTGCGGCACGCGTGGCGAATAGTTGGAAACATGGAGCGACTGTTTGCACTGTACTTGAGACCGAATCTAACGAATATTCGATCATTCGAATAAATCATTCGAATGCGAATGATTCGAAAAGTCGTATATATGAAAATCTGAGATTTCGAATGAAATTCGAAAGTCGAATATTTGCAATTTCTAGTTTTCGAATATATTTGAAGTCGAATATTCAATGGTCATCAGTTCGTATATTCAATGGCCATCGAATATTTGAATATTCGACGACCATCGAATGATCTAACTCTATTAAAGCACAGCACATCACTGTAAAAGTTTCTATCAAGCTACAACTCTCAAGGGGAGTGTACATGTTTGGGTCCTGGCGCGGTAATCTGTACAGTAGTCGTGACGCGCCATTTCCCGTGTCGCATATGTAACTGCTATCGATTTTTCGTTAGCCAGGGAGCCAGGGTTGTATCTTCAACCGTTTCTTTCACTTTTTATTCTTTCTAGTCTCACTCTCTAGATTTTTAGTCCTTCTAGTCTATGTCTGGCAATGCTCTCATCGCTTACGCAGCGCACAGAGCATATCGGAGTGACGTCAGAAAAGGTAAGTAACTTCACAGTGGATACATTTCTTGTCTGCATGATTTATAGAGCACTGAAAAATCGTAACGATAGCGCGACCGCGTGCGACACGCAAGCGTACCCGGCAACCGCTATTTTCTTGGTTCTCTACTCGAAAAGTATTTCTGCTTATATATGATAGCATTCAGACACTGATGTGACTGAGCTGAAAGTTGAGATGACACCTTTTTGTAAGTGTTTTCTGCTCCTGTGTGCGCAAAGACCGCAGTCAAATTCGTCGTTACAATCTCGCAAATAACCTATACTATGGATTGATCGAACGCCTCTAAGTTGGTATTACTTTCCAGTCATCATCTGGAAGTTTGATGGTTGAAATCTTGCTCAGAGTTTTTGCCTGTACATATTGTCCAGAAATGAACAGTACTTCATGCGTTGCAGAGTTGTAGTATAAAAGGGAACTACAAGTACCCACAATACTTGTAAACTATTTGCCTGGCCAAACATATCACATTAACATATTAGGTTGAACCGAGAGTTCGTTCGCACTTAGTAGTATAAAAGGAAACTACAAAGACCCACAATACTTGTAAACTATTTGCCTGGCCAAACATATCACATTAACATATTAGGTTGAACCGAAAGTTTGTTCGCACTATCTTTAAAAAAATCGTAACTTCTTTCTCTTACGAGGATCTTGCACGACAAAAATAGGATTAGGAAGAGCAAAACGTACACATCCCAAGGACACCTTGCCTGCTCAGCTTTGTTTGCTGAGGTAAAACTGGGAAAAGGAAATCACTTCAATTTCGGAATTTTGAGAAAAGCCTGTTAAAATTTTCAAAACTGCGTCATGAAATCCAAAAAGGGCCGTATCATAGATTATTTGACACTCTCTTTTTAGTGGAGCAAAACTTGTGCTGATCGAGCTCTTCTTAGAAAAGTTATGATTCTTAAGAAAAATGCCAAAAAATCAGTCTCTTGATAAATTTTTGTCGGCACTTTTCTTCAAAAGATCATAACTTTTGAAAGAAGAGTTCGACCAGCACAAACTGGACTCAGTTAGTAATAAAATATAAGAAAACTTAGGGTGATAGCTGTTCTGGATTTTATCGCACAGTTTCTAGATTTTCAAAATGCTTGCTTGAAAATTCCGAATCTCGGATGATCTCGTTCTTTCATTTTTATCTCTGTAATTCGAACATGTTAAAAAGTCCCCAGGGTACTTTTGGAAACTACATGCTTTACGCTTTCTGAAATAGTTTAAGTTGAGCAAAACCGTTGTGGCTGAAAGAAGTTATGATTTTTCAGAAATGGTGCGAACGAACTTTCGGTTCAACCCAATGTAATTTTTCGAATAATATTCGAAAATCGAATGATATTTGAAAATCGAATGATATTCGAAATTCAAATGGCATTCGATATTCGAATATTCGAAAATTTCGATTTCCCCAAGTATAGTTTGCACTGAGGCCGATAGGCCGAAATACTCTGTCACCATGTTATTGCATGTCGCAAACATGTTGTTGCACGTTAACAACATGTTAGCCATAAGCCAGGTCAGAAGCAGACCAAGCAGCCGATCTGGAAGGGACGATAAGCTCATTTACGTTACGAAAGCCTATTCCAGTTGTGGAGATGGACAGCTCAATAAGGTCGTCGTTAGTCTGTCTTTTCGCAGAAAATCTCACTCCTCGTCAAGCTTGCGACAAATCGGTAGCAAACAGACCTAGATCGGATGCAGTCTACGAGGTAGTGAGGTGCGCCAAGTGGTCGCCAATGATAGAAATCGGCGTGAAAGTGACACGCATACAGTGAAGAATCGGCGCCTGCACATAAACCCTACATCCCCCAGACATTTAAGCGATTCAATATAACGGCGATTCTTGTGCAAAAACCCACAATCCCATCAATCAAAGATTTGCTATAGCACCTAACGAAGCCTATCTCCTACCTGCACAACTTACGGGTAGGGGACTATATGTCGCCGAAAAAGGGCGGTCCCGCGGTCATTTGCGACAAATACGCGCCCTTGTTCATACGTGGACATGCGTTCCTGCAGGCAATCCGCGCGGGACTCTTTCAAATTCGGCGACATATAGTCTTCCACCCACAACTTACTATCCCGGTAGAATGCTCGAATAAGAAAGAAGCAGTGTCATAATTCCATAAATGCAAGAACCAAGTCAAATGCCATTGCGAGGACACGGCCTATTCCAATCCGAGAAATCCGTGACTCACTCTACAATACTAGCTAGATACGTGTTACCTATTTCAAGCCCCGATTTCATGGTTAAACAAGATGACGAAGAGATATCGTCGCCTCCCCAATGTACGTTGGGCGGCGCATCTGGAGACATTTGAACATGTTGGTGGACTGGTCCACTAGTGCAAGACATTGTTTTTTGTAATCTCTCGCTACCAACTCTGCCACGTATGACAACAGCATATATACGTGGCAGGTTTGAAAGTACGAAGACCCATACTTTGCAGTAGAGGTTTGACAAGTCATCAACGCGTTCAGATGTCTGCAATTGCTCCGCCCCGTACACCGGGGAGGCAACGATAGTTGCACTCACAAACGATGGAGAATTTGTTATAAATTCAGCCTCCAAGTCATTAATGAATGCCTCACTTTATTGATCAAAGGAGTGCAACATACACATCGCCAACTTGACGGACTGCTATAAATGCGAGGAGGTAGCCAAACTTACGACATTTGCTACTCTCAGGTAATTATGAAAGTACTGTCAATTGCAAGCGCCACGAGTTCGTCGTTGACTGCGCACCAAATAACACAATGACCGTAACGCTGCTTTCATTTCAAAACGCATTGGTCGAGCAAGAATGCAAGGTGGAATGTAGAAAATCGGGTACACCAATACTCAGAGGATTGCTTCACTCTCACATTCCCCTTAAAAAATTGATGAACTCACGGAACACAAACTCCACTTGAAAAATCAGTGGTTTGCAGATTGGTCTATCCCCGACCTTACGCCACTAATCAATGCTATCCAAAATAATTGGAAAATAGCAACGGCTGCAGTCACATGCATTGACATTAGCCGCGATCACTTACTTAGCAGACCCTGTGGTGATTATCATGTTATTAAAAGTGTTATGCTACCCAGCTAAGCTAATGATTACGGCCTAATACAGAGTTATATGTTGTACTTAAAGATAACAGAGTTAACAGAAAGGCATGAGTAGAAAAAAAGATTAGAAAGAGATAAAGTTTCCATTAACACTTGTACAAATCCGTAAGCACCAACTCATACCCCCCCCCCCTTATATCGATATCAGCGGCCCGCGCAAGTAACACCATCGAAAAGGCGCGAAAGGCACCAAAAGTTCAGGATACATAGTACCACTCAACGACATAAATGGGCGCACTTTCAATGGCTATTCATCCTTCGCTCCTCACCGCCGGCCAGCCAGCTCCATCGTAACCGGATCGTCCACCGCCCAAAAGCCGCTAGATCGCCGCTCTTCCGCAGCCTCCAGCGACTCCACCGCTCCTCCGACACCCTCGCGGTCAGGCGGCAATTGTAAAGCGGTAAGCGTCCCAACTATTTAGAATAGTCGTACAACTCACTTTGCATAGTAAATTTCTATTCAGCATACAATCAGCCTCCATGTCCTTCTCGAGCGAAATGCAAGCAGGCATGAAGGTCTGAATTGATGCGAACAAAGCAACACTCCTTCATCATCTCCTAACGCGACTGGAGGCGCTGAAGGCCAAATCAAGGACGATACTGGAACGACTTGGGCAGCTAGTGGATCGCACAGCTCCAAAGTGCAACTGCGTCTTCTGCGCAGTTTGTTAAAATCGTGACAACAACTACGCCGGCCGTTGCCCGCGCTACAAGGACTCCATCGCCAAAGGCGCACAACCAGCAAAGTTAGGGCTTTGCCTCCTTTGTCTGAAGGCATGAAGGCGTTTCATCATGGCAACCTTCTCTTTTATAGAGGCTTTCATCTGAGCTTGTTGCTGTTCACGAACTGTCATAGTCTTCTTCCCCGTATATTCATGTGCTTCAAAACGCCGCTGCCAAGATCAGAAGCTTCATTGGTGTACCAGCACGCTTGAGCTTGGACTGCAGCATTTTATTAGGTTGGAAACTAAGTTTTGCAACTGGCCTCATAACTTCCCTCTCACTCAACATGGCGCACTCAAATTTTGCCACTGCGTTGGTTATTACGTAAGCTACATGTGCAGCTGCTGTTCTACGAAATTCTGACGTCGCAGTGAGGGTTAGATAGGTGCATGGTATGAAGGGGAAACATTCAAAGTTTGACGGATTTGGCTGAAACTTGGCGTAGAGGTGTTATCCGACATGCTGATCACGAAAACGATAGTGAAATTGCGTGAAAAGGGCTTTTTTGTAGGATTACTGTAGGTGTACGATATGGGGTCTCACCCTAAACAAGGAGAAAGGCGTTCATTCAACAAATAAATGTGATATTCGCGTTTGGCAGGTCAAATAACCTTACTATGTAAAGTCTCGGCGGAATTTGAGCTTCGGACTCTTTAGTCATTGACGGTTGTCCCCAGCAGCTCTTGCGTACATCGACTCGTTCGACTTTATGAGGACGCCAGATCTCGACATGTCCCTAAATGTCCCTAATGTTTCTTTCTCAATAGACCAAAGGAGTCAACCTCCAGCAATAATTTGTAGATGAATCCGGATTACTGCGCATGGTCTAGGCCGCCAAAGGCTTCATTTTAGCTTGAAACCCCCAAAAATTCGCAAATTTCACTAGTTTTCGAAAAACGCCTGAAACTTTTCTATTTCGTGTTCAAAATTTAGACAATTTGTGCTGACTTGTAGCTCACATTGCCTTCTACATATTGCCAAAGTTTGAGTGCGCCATATCCAAAGAGAGCGGAGTTATGAAACCAGTTGCAAAACTTAGTTTCCAGCCTAATATCACAACGTCCATCAATAGAACCATGGTCAACGCTAGTAGCAAATGCTGGGGCTTGCTTGGAGCCTCGCCCTTTCTTAGCGCCACGTACTCTACCATGTGCGCTTCCCCCAGCTCTCCTAGCAGGCGATTTAGACGGAGTACTATTGAGGGCTTCAGCTCCAGCAGCAAGTAGCTCATCAGCCTCTTCGTCATTAAGCTCGGATAATAAGAGATCAGTAGCAGGTGAAGGCACAGGTGCGGGAATGTCGCTTATTGGCTTGTGTAGCAATGACTCAACCTGCTTCGCGGACGTCTTCGCGGACGTATCAAAGTCACTTCCGCTAGGCTCTAGCTGAGGTCCTTTTTCCGACGTCGACTCAGCATTGAGCAATCTTTCTATTAGAAACTTTCTTCTCTTCCTCTTCATCGAAAACGGGAACTCTCAGAGCCTTTTTCACTTCAGGAGCACACAATTTGGCTGCTTCAGCCTGAGTTTCGCTCGAAAGCTGAGTTCCCACGTTTGAGTCAGACATTATGGTCTTCAGTAGTGCATAAAGTCTTGGCACATATCTCTTTGAAGCGCTAGCCCAAACGACTTGCTGAGCCCTTTCTTTTTGGGCTTTGGCTTTCGTTGCATCTAGCTCTTTTTTATATCCTTCGGCTAGATTCAGCAGCTTTTCAAAATTTGCAGTCTCTCTTCCTTTTATCTTGCGATTTCTCGCAGATGTCCAATGTTTTTTCGTATTTCACACGCCAAACACTGGCTTCATGCGCGTGCTTTTTTCCTTCTTTGGCTCCCTTTGCCAAATTATAATAATCTTTCTCCAGGGACTCTACCCGTTCTTTCACCTTCACATTCTCTTCGTCGCCAGCGCTTCAAGCATTTGCTCAGATTAATGCTATCCCCAAGCTGGGTGGTCAAGTCTGCGTTGAGTTTCTTTGGCATTTTGATCTCCCGCCTGAGCGCCTTCAACTCGCCTATGCGCGGAGAAAGATCAGCAAGCGTGTTCAGGTAGCCAGTGCAGTTGTCACGGAAAATGATGCAACCTACATTTTGGCCTCGGCATGAGATCTTTTAACTAGACGTTCCTTTCTTCGCTCGACGATTCCTCATCATCTTCCAGGGAATCATTCTGATGCAGCTCGTTAAACTCAGCGAGCATTTGTTCTGATGGAGGCTAACGGGACGTGGTGAAGGGCTTTCCGGTTCAGCCTCTGGAGGGACACTCGTTGGCATGTCAGCCGCCATTATGAAATTCAGAAACGATGTCCAACTCGCTCACTTCCACCGGTATTCTCTCAGACTTGGGTAATTGAATCGATTGTGAAGGCGATTGTGGAATTAAGTGCGGCAACTGTGGCCTTAGCCACAACTTTTTGCTCTGCTTCACAAGATGACCAGGTCAAGCCGCAAAACGCCCACAAAATTGATGAAGTCATTCTTCTCTTCTTCTCTTCGCCCCCATTCTCCCCGAAGCCGTGGCGTAGCCGTTGCCAACGCCGTCCGCCTCCTGGCCCGCTCCAGTCTCTACCCCGCCAATTCGCCATCAAGCCTTGAAGTCCAACGTCGCTCAACTACAAGCCGTCGCCAACTTCTGCAAGCATTTTTGAAGCATATTTCAAGAATTTCTTTTAGATTGTTTATAATGATATTATGTGGAATATTAGTGAACATATTGTTGTCTTTTTCAAAAGAAATTTATGGGTCATGAAATGACCGCAGCGGCTACCCATGTTGAGAAGCCGCTATCTCAGTCTAGACAATCTCTATATATATAAAGCAGAAAATTTGTATGTTTGTGCAGGGTGTGCAGGGTGTGCAGGGTGTGCAGGTGTTCACGGTGAGCAGGGTGTGCAGGGTGTTCAAGGTGTGCAGGGTGTGCAGGTTGTGCAGGTTGTGCAGGGTGTGCAGGGTATGTGTGTGTTCGTCTGTTACGAAATTCGTAGAGCGTGTTCCAGCCAGCGTTCTAAGCCCTAATTTTGCATAGCGCATGCTACCTTTATGAAAGTCTAACATGCAAACGAGTATATTTGTTGAGTGGACCCTCAGAAATTGCGCACCAAACGATTGATTTGGGCCGATTTTAAGAGAATCAGTAAGGCACATAGATAGTACAGTCAGTGCAAACCTCTCTAGAGGCTGAAGCAGAGGTGACGCACTGGTATCTATAAATTTCTCTATATCCTTAGGATGCCAGCTCACTATCAGTTTGTTTATTCAAATGTCAATGAACAGCAAGGCATGTTTCATTTCGAGTTCCATTCGTGCAAAGAAGCCTGTTAAAGCAAGTATTTGTGATGTAGGTTTATAGTCGTTCTCCAAAAATTTCCTAAGGAGATCATTGTTTGAGTTTTACAAATTGCATGTGAATAGTCTGCAAGCGAGTTCCACTTTTGTTCCTGTATTTGCTTTAGGCCTTAGCCTCATGCGATCTTGGTCGCCACGCGGTCTGCCAGTGTTGCAATTTGCAAATTCAACACGTGTAGGCAGCAAGCATAGTCTGTACAACCTCTGCACCTTTGCACTTCCATCAATATGTTCGAGTCAATGAAGAGCAAGACGTGTTTCATACTGAGAAGAAGAAGCCTGCTTAAACAAGCATTTTTGATGTAGCTTCATAGTTTTTCAAAATCTCTTGGTTTGACCAAACCAACTGCTCATCATTGTTATGATTCATCCTGCTTGCCAGGTGTACATACAGGAGTTGACGTTAGGGAAATAAGGACATGTCAAAGGTTACTGAAACTTTCTATTACTTTTTTCACAGCTACCACAATGCCGCTTGAAAGAAATTGTGTTAGAAGTACAGATCCTAAAGTGAAGAGAATGAAAGAGGTAAGTGTAACAGAAATTTCTGAGCAATTTTCAGGCGAGCAGGGTATCCGGCGTGAAAAAAATACGAACAGGATGGCTATGGAACGGGCTAAGGAGACACAGGAACAGCGTATGAGCAGACTTGACGCGGTTCGGAAACGAGCGGCTACGCGACGAGCTGAAGAGACACAGGAACAACGTATGGAGAGACTTGAAGCTAATCGAAGACGAGTAGCAGTGCGACGTGGTGAAGAGACAGTTGAGGAACGTGAAGTCCGGCTGCAGTCTGAACGGCAGCGTCGAATACGGGCAGTGCAAGCACACAGATGGATGGATCTAAGAAGGGCAGCTTTTAGCTATGACCCTAGAATTGAATTCTCCGCGCACCCTAAAGTCGTAATAGGAAAAATGGATGTGATATGTGCTCACTGTCAAGCTAGAAAATTTGCAGGCGAGGCACCAGGTATGTGCTGCTCTAACGGCAAAGTTAAACTGCCGCTTTTGAGAGATCCACCTGAACCGTTGTGTTCATATCTGTATGGCACAACCCAAGAGTCACGGCATTTCTTGCAAAACATTAGGAAGTATAACTCAAGCTTTCAAATGACATCATTTCAACGACCGCAGTGATCGAAGAAAGTGGGTTTATGCCAACTTTCAAAATCCAAGGACAGGTGTATCACAGAGCTGGTTTGCTACTGCCCGCCGCAAATCAGGAACCAAAATTTTTACAGCTCTATTTTGTTTCCAATGAGCAAGCGCAGGCAAATAAATGATGCGCCAATGTACCTGGCGTTAGGGAGGATATCGTCTTGAGTTTGCAGAAGCTGCTACATCAGCGAAACCCCTTGGTACCTATGTTTAAAACCGCATTAGACAATATGCCGACAGATGAGCATAGAATAGTGATCTATGCAGACAAAAGGCCAGCAGGTGAGCACGAAAGGCGATTTAATGCGCCGTGTACCTATGAAGTAGCGATTGTCATGGCTGGAGAAGAATTTAACGGACGCGATATTGTGATTCAAAAAAGGGGCGGAGATCTGCAGCGTATCTCAGAGACTCATAGGTTATATGACGCTCTGCAGTACCCATTGCTGTTCTGGGAAGGAGAAGATGGTTACCATTTCAATTTAAAACAGTTTGATCCAAATACTGGAAGGTACACAAACAAGAAGGTCTCAGCCATGGACTTCTACGCGTATCGTATGATGATGAGAACTACTTCGGCTAATCACGTCTTAAAATGTTGTCAGTTGTTTCATCAATTCATTGTCGATATGTATGCCAAAATTGAAGCTGAGCGTCTTCTGTACATTTGGCTTAATCAAAAAAAGTTGAGAGTGGAGGATTACATTCATCTGAGGGATGCTATTGCTAATGATGTGAACAGCAGAGAGATAGGACAAATGGTGATATTGCCAGCAACATTCACTGGCAGTCCAAGGCATATGCATGAATATGCTCAGGATGCTATGTGCTACGTGAGAAATCACGGGCGTCCAGATCTATTCATTACTTTCACGTGCAACCCGAAATGGACTGAAGTAACTCAGGAGCTGATGCCTGGCCAAACGCCTGCCGATCGGCATGACTTGACAGCACGAGTCTTTAAGCAAAAACTTGATAAACTTATGGACGTCATAACGAAAAGTCATGTTTATGGAGAGACTCAATGTTGGATGTATTCGATTGAGTGGCAAAAAACGGGTCTTCCGCATGCGCACATTCTGATATGGTTGAAGGATAAGATTTGTACAACTCAGATAGACGATGTTATCTCGGCTGAGTTTCCGGATCCGGAAAACGATCCGTTGCTATACGATGTTATTTCCAAAAAATGATCCACGGACCGTGTGGACCATTGAATCCAAATTCACCATGCATGAAGGACGGAAAGTGTTCCAAGAAATATCCTCGCCAAACACTTTTAGAGACTCAGACAGGAAATGATGGCTATCCTCTGTACCGAAGAAGAAGACCGGCAGATGGAGGATATACTGCGAAAGTTAAAGTGAGGATAGATGGGCAGATGACAGAAGTGACAATAGATAATAGATGGGTTGTCCATACACGCCGTTGCTCTCAAAGATGTTCCAGGCCCACATCAATGTTGAGTATTGCAATTCCGTAAAATCCATCAAATATATCTGCAAGTACATTAACAAAGGCGGAGACATGGCCGTGTTTAGGATTGAAAACCAAAACAGACCCATTGATGAGATATCAACCTATCAACTAGGAAGATATATCAGCAGTAATGAGGCCGTTTGGCGAATATTAAATTTCAATATACACGATCGGTACCCACCTGTTCTTCATCTTTGTGTTCACTTGGAGAATGGACAACGCGTTTATTTCACAGCCGACAACGCACAAGAAAGAGCTGCTCAACCACCTGCTACAACTCTAACGGCGTTCTTTCAGTCATGTCAGGACGATGCTTTTGCAAGAACGTTGTTGTATCCAGAAGTTCCAAAATTTTACACTTGGAACAAAGCAACAAAGAAGTTTTGCAGAAGAAAACAGGGAACAATGGTACCGGGGCAGGAAGTGCGCGCTGCAGATGCTATAGGACGTGTATATACTGTTTATCCTGACAGTGCAGAATGCTATTATCTTCGGCTCTTACTTCACACAATAAGAGGACCAACATCGTTCTCATTCTTGAAAACTGTGGATGGAAAGCAGTGTCAGCCTTACAGAGAAGCATGTCAGAAGTTGGGTTTGCTGGAAAGCGATGAACAACATTGTCGGAAGCGTCGGTGTCGAGTTCTCCCGCGCAAATGAGAAGTCTTTTTGCTATAATAATTGCAACGTGCTCTCCGTCTAACCCCAGAGATCTTTGGGAGAAGTACAAAGAAGCCCTAAGTGAAAATATTCTTAGACAACAACGTACCGCCAATCCTTCCTTGACTATAGAGTACTCTTCCGCTATTTTTAATCAATGTTTGAGACTGATCGAAAAGAAGTGTGTCTCCATTTCCGGTCACAAATTTTCCAAACTTGGACTGGATTTGCCCGAACGAGACGAAAACATCGTGCTTAACAGTGACATCCTGAGAGAAAGGTGTTACAATGTCGAAGAGCTACAAAGGTTTGTTGAAGCTAACAGGCCACTTTTGGTTGATGACCAGAAACAAGTGCATGATGCTGTGATGGAAATGGTAATGAGAGGCACTGGAGGAGTAATATTTTTGGATGCTCCAGGAGGAACAAGAAAAACATTTCTCATTAACATCTTACTTGCGGAGATACGAGCACAAGGAGAGATAGCAGTAGCCATTGCGTCGTCAGGCATTGCGTCTACACTGCTAGAAGGAGGACGCACAGCTCATTCCGCACTGAATCTTCCTCTGAATCTATGTACATTAGAATCTCCATGCTGTGCTATAAGTAAGGGTTCCGGGAAAGCTGAGATGTTAAAACAATGCAAGCTCATTATTTGGGATGAATGCAGTATGGCTCATAAAAAAGCTCTTGAAGCTCTCGACCGTACGTTGAAGGATATTAGAGGTAACGACAAGCTGATGGGCGGAGCCGCATTGTTGTTAGCTGGTGACTTCCGCCAAACTTTACCTGTTGTCCCGCGTTCCACCCCAGCAGACGAACTCTATGCTTGCTTAAAAGCTTTTGATGTATGGAGGCACATGCGGACTATGGCTGACAACTAACATGAGAGTCCGTGCACTTGGCGACGATGCAGCACAAATTTTTGCGCAGCAGCTTTTGAGTCTTGGAGAAGGCAGGATTCCAGTCGACTGCAAAGACACGATTTCTCTTCCTTCTGGGTTTTGTAATATGGTGTAATCTGTAGAGGAGCTGGTGCAAAAGGTGTTTCCCAATCTCCAAAAAAGCTACCAAAATCAGCAATGGCTCTGCGAAAGGGCGATATTAGCACCTAAAAACGAAAGTGTTGCGTCCATCAATATCAGAATACAGCAATCAATTCCTGGAGCTACTGTGACGTATCAGTCTATTGACAGAGTATTGAACGAAGTTGAAACAGTGAACCCCATCGAGTTCTTAAATTCACTGGAACCTCCTGGGCTACCTCCTCACAAGCCAGAGTTAAAATTGGATCACCAATTATACTACTGCGCAATCTGGATCCTCCAGTATTATGCAATGGTACTCGACTTCTCATAACGAATTTGATGCCGCACGTTATTGAGGCAACGGTTCTGACCGGCAAATCGAGAGGAGAACACATTTTCGTCCCGCGCATACCCATGATACCCACTGACGTGCCATTTCGATTCAAACGGCTGCAGTTTCCTATACGTCTAGCATTTGCTATGACTATAAATAAATCACAAGGACAGTCATTGAGAGTCGCAGGAATCGATTTAGAAAATCCCTGTTTCTCACACGGTCAGTTGTATGTTGCCTGTTCAAGAGTTGGCACACCAAAAAATCTCTTTATATATGCGCCGGATGGAAAAACTAAGAATATCGTATATACGAGAGCTTTGTCCTGAAAAAATCAAAGGGAGTTTACTAAGTTTACGGCATGTTGTATCGCTTGGATGTCTGGAAATGCTATTTAAACGCTCCTGTTTTCTGTTTCTGTTTCTCCTTCCCTTCGCACAAAATTTAGTCTTCTCAAACTGCGGTTGATTTTCTTAAATAGTCCGGATGCAACGATAGAAATTAATCAACGGTACAATATCAATGTATGCAACTATCAACTGACTAACAATAAGGACGAAAATGAATAATTCATGCATTTCATTGATTGTATTAATTGTTAAAAGAACCAAACCAATCAGTGGTTTCAAGGTAACGAACAGCTTCGTTAAGTCAGCACTCTCGAGGCAAGGGAAAGGATCAAAGGTGCAGGTACTCGGAGAAGCTCCAACTCAGCTTAATCAATACACCTGTCCAAAGCAGTTCTGTTTTTCTCCCAAAAAAACGAAAAAAGAAAATTTCAAAAATTTGGTGGTCTGTGGTGATCAGGGAAGGTGGGTGGGACCACACAAAGAATCTGAATAGATTCGGTCGAGCTATCCTTCCTTAGTGATGAGTTGCGAGGATAGTCTAGGGTCTATTTAGCCTAACTCTCTAAGGTTACGAATGAAACGGCACAACCAAAGAATCAGTTTTATTCCTCTTGGAATAAGTCTTTGAGGGGGGGGGGTCGACATTGAAGTGTGCCGGGCGGAGCCGGCATAGCCGGCTAGTCTTATATATAAAGCTGAATGTCTGTTTGTCTGTCTGTATGTCTGTCTGTATGTCTGTCTGTATGTCTGTCTGTGTGTACGTATGTTCCGAATAGAAAATTCCATTTCTGAACCGATCCGGACCAAACTTGGCACACATACACTACGGGCCCCGGCGGGTGTCATAGGCTACTTTTCGTCATCGATCGATATCGATTTTATCGATTTTTATCGATTTTTTTGCTGAGTTTACCTACGGGGCTGGGAGTTGGCACAGGGGGGTAATCGAGCATGGGGATTCCGAATACAATAATGGTTTTCGGGATTATCGATTACTTTTATCGATTTTATCGATTTTTTTGCAAAGTTTGAGCTAGGGGGCTGGGAGTTGGCACAGGGGGGTAATCGAGCATGGGGATTTCGAATACAATAATGGTTTTCAGGATTATCGATTACTTTTATCGATTTTATCGATTTTTTTGCAAAGTTTGAGCTACGGGGCTGGGAGTTCGCACAGGGGGGTAATCGAGCATGGGGATTCCGAATACAATATTTGTTTTCGGGATTATCGATTACTTTTATCGATTTTATCGATTTTTTTGCAAAGTTTGAGCTAGGGGGCTGGGAGTTGGCACAGGGGGGTAATCGAGCATGCTGATCATCCCCAAGGGGGGTGATCAGCATGCTCGATTACACCCCTGTGCCAAATTCCAGCCCCTAGCTCAAATTTTCAAAAAATCGATAAAATCGATAAAAGTAATGGACGATCTTGAAAACCAATATTGTATTCGTAATCTGCATGCTCGATTACCCCCTGTGCAAACTCCCAGCCATGCAGGTCAAACTTTGCAAAAAAATCGATAAAATCGATAAAAGTAATGGACGATCCTGAAAACTAATATTGTGTTCGTAATCAGCATGCTCGATCACCCCCCTGTGCAAAATCCCAGCCTCGCATGTCAAAATTTACAAAAAATCGATAAAATCAATAAAAGTAATCGATAATTCTGAAAACTAATATTGTATTCGGAATCCCCATGCTCACTTCCCCCCTGTGCCAACTCCTAGCCCTGTAGGTGAACTCTGCAAAAAAATCGATAAAAATCGGTAAAATCGACATCGATCGATAACGAAAAGTGGACTGTGACACCCGCCGGGGCCCGAAGTGTATGTGTGCCAAGTTTGGTCCGGATACGGCGGAGCCGGGTAAGCCAGCTAGTCTTATATATAAAGCTGAATGTCTGTTTGTCTGTCTGTCTGTATGTATGTATGTCTGTACGTATGTTCCGAATAGAAAATTCCATTTCTTAACCGATCCGGACCAAACTTGGCACACATACACTTCGGGCTCCAGCGAGTGTCATAGGCTACTTTTCGTCATCGATCGATATTGATTTTATCGATTTTTTGCAAAATTTGAGCTACAGGGCTGGGAGGTGGCACAGGGGGGTAATCGAGCATGCTGATCACCCCCACGGGGGTGATCAGCATGCTCGATTACCCCCCTCTGCCAAATTCCAGCCCCCTAGCTCAAATTTTGCAAAAAATCGATAACATCGACATCGATCGATGACAAAAAGTGGACTGTGACACCCGCCGGGGCCCGAAGTGTATGTGTGCCAAGTTTGGTCCGGATCGGTTAAGAAATGGAATTTTCTATTCGGAACATACGGCAGAACCGGGTAAGCCAGCTAGTTTCTTATAAATTACTTGAGGGTGTGTCATGTAGAGAACTTCTCTTACATAACTAGCTAAATTTTCGAAAAAGCGCGCTTACTCACGCTTGATTCTGGCCACAAAAGTGAATGCTATGAGGTTCTAATCTTGAATACCTTAATTCGGAGCTCTGTAGCTATAAAACGGATGAGGCTAAACATGAGAAGAGCTTCTAAATGTATGCTACGAAAATTTTGAGAAAAAGGCATTGGAAAATGAAAGTTGTTCTGAAAGGCCTGGAAAAGCGGCCATTATTTTGCATCAACCTAATAGATCAAAGATTTTGAACCCAATAGTCGTGATGTTTCTCCTTTGTACACCAATCATTGATTGAGGCCTGCTTGGTAATATTTATTAGGTAACTAGTTAAAAAATGGCCAAAGCGCAGCTTCACGCATGTGGGCGTTCCATTCTTGCCAGATATGCTTGGCATTCAGCGTTGAATACAGTACCAAACTCTTTCCAAGCCTGTTTCTGCTCTGCAGTCAAAGCTGCCCCTTTGCTCTCTAGAAATCCCATCCAGTAATCCCAAAATGGCTGAAAATGGAAGTGTTGTGGAACTCCAGTTAAATGGAGAAAATCTGTTGTTTGAATAAACACTAAAAGTCACCTTCCAAAGTTCAGGGTCGATTGATCTATCGAAATGCTCGTACATAACTCTTCGAACAAATGCTCGATACACCGATTCCTGGAAAATTGACAATTATTGAAGATAAGTGAGCATAAAATTCAGTGCTTACGTTTTCGCATACGTTAGCCAAGACGTGAACGAATAAAAGTATAGCGTCTCCTAATTTGTCAAATCTGCAAAATTATGCACGCTCACAAGCGGCGAACTTTCATTACTCGCCTCTCGCTCTTTGCCACATCGTCGCCAGTATAGTTCTCAGCACCTTTGTAGAAGTGGCGGTGTTCAGGATGAGAAGTGAAGAAGCTGAACGTTGTGATTTGGCTTGGGGTCAAACTTGTTCATAACTTACTATTTGTAAAAGTCCCTTCCGTGATGACCATCACCAAGTGGCGCTACCTTGAGCGACTCAACTGTGTGCCTTCTGATGTCAGCGGGCTTCCTTAATAAGCAATAATGTCCTCTTAGCACAAATTTTCAGCAAAAAACAAAATGAGTGCAGTTGAAGTTAAACTTGCATGTGGAAATTGGAAGAATTTGCTAAAAGAGTGTTAGCAATTTTATAATTTTTTGTATCTCTCTGAACTAAAAGAGTGCAGAAATTGTAAAACTACGAAAATCGACTCAAATCGCACGTAAAAAGCGCAAAACTCAATCATAATGAAACTGTTTCTCAAATTTGAAGAACTTACATCACTCTACAGCAGATAGTACTGAAGAAGTGAAATTTAGTTTTCAAGTTCCTAGACGCCAACCGTGCGGGTGAGTAACGATTCGAAGTTATTCTCAAAGAATGCCAAAAACAAAATCACATAGCATAAGTGCAACGATACTCTATCAGACATCAAGAAATCATATACTTTATTAGATGTTCAATAAAGAGCAAAGACATTTGCTCTTTGTTGAACATTCGAGAAATACCGCAAATTTACGCAAGAAAAACCTATTACAATACCAAGTTTTGTTTTTACGGTCAGGGTGCTTTGTTAATTTGCAGAATAAAGAATGTTCCACACAAACTGAGTGCCTCCAGTGCCATATTTATAACTTCGAAATGAAATTGAAGCCAGCGGAATGCCCATTTCTAAGGATTTCTAAGGGATAATCTCTAATTAGTGCAAGCGCAATTTCAGACTAGCAGTGGATATACGTGACATTTGCACAGAATCGGCTATGAATAGTTTTGTCATACAAAAGGTAAGTAAAAACTTGCAAACTTGAACGATGTGAGGACCTCTGTATGTATGTACTTGAGAGATGATTACTTGCCTGATCCTTTCTTAAAACCCTGATATGATGTGTCACTACTCATGGCTGCACGTTAAACCTGACAACTGTCCATGAGTTGGAAGTACTGCAAGTAGTGCAAAGGTAATTTAGCATTGAGAATGGAATAAAATACCTACATACACTTTTTTGAAGATACCGTAAGGGGTGATGGTATAAACCGCAATTACAAAATGATTTCTACAATCTTTATCTCATCCAAAGTCTCCGCGAGTAATAGTCTTTCTTAGGTATCTACCACGTGAAGTTTCAAAACTATTTTCGACTCTGCTCCTTACGAGGATGCAATTGGCACCATCATTTTGTTACCGATGATTGATTAATGTGAAATCTGCGAGCCCTTCAGCAAGGAAAATTGTCCTTGTTCGTGACATTTTTCTCGATACATAAAAAGGTTTCAGGTATTTTTAGTGGCTTTTTGCAACGTAATCTTTACATGCTACTCTAATTGGGCGTATCCGACATCAATATAAGCAACACAGCAGGGAACCTGCAGTAACTCGCTTTACTCGAAACTTCTTGCAAACTAATAGATTGAAAAACTTATTTTGATTATACATGTCAAAGGAACTGCGAGCACCCTCAGCTTCTCTCTTTGCTGTTGAGCGAAATTTTTTATTGTTCTTATATTGCATCGATTGTGCTTGCTCAAAATCCGCTAAGATCACAAACAACATTGAATATCTTACGGCGAAAGTAGCTGTTAACGATTAGAAAATATACTTCGTGATTTTATGTTTGCAGAAGTACACATCATCAGGACAAAAATGCAAGTTTCTATGTTTTTTTATTTCTATGTTTTGTTTCTTCATCTGAGCACGACGTAGAAGCATCAGAAATTGTGGTGAAATGTTGATTTCAATCAATCAAATGCTAGTGTTCAATACTAGGTTGTCTCATGAGTTTTCAATTTTGACTTTCTACTGCAATGAGTTCTTATTAAACACATTTCTTAATAGTAATTAGAATTTCTATTCGATAGAAGGAAGCAAGCTTTACACGATGGCATGTAAGTGTTCGCACCAGCTTCAGCACATGTTAGAAGCTAAAATCTGAAATTTTTCGGATGCCTGAAAAATTGGAAATTTTTTATATTTTCGTCCAAGGAAAACTTACCGGATCCCAAACTCGCTCACGCATATATCAGGTTGTCCGGAAAATAATGTCGCATGGCATCCTACCGCGAAAGAACGACCACAGAAAACAGCGAATGGGATCTCTTTTGATAGAGCAAAGCAAGCTCTCCAAGGTAGTTTACAAACCTCCGCAAAAATCTTGCTCTACCTGAAGTTCGAATCCAAAATACAAAAAATTTCGAATACCCAAAAAATCGTAACTTCGTTCATGGACGTCTTAGGGATCTCCAAATCGAACAGACATGTAACACGGGACATTCACCTGTTTAGTTTGTGGTATTTTTCCGTGGCTACATACGACCAAACACGTTTTGATTTTCCTCGAAAACTAGCGCTGGCCTAAGGCTGAAAATTTATGGTTATACTTCTAGTTCATATTACAGAATCATTAATGTGAGAGAAGCTTAGGATTGCTTTGGCAAAAATATACCGAACTTCGTATTCTCATTTCAGCCATGCAAAAACCGCGAAGTTGTGGTTCGATTGTCTCGTATAGTGAGTCCATGCATGAGCAAGTTAGTGGTTCCCAGGACCTGAACGGAGATACGATTCTTTCGTTTCTTAGGTCTTTAATGCCTTATAAAATTTGGATCCAAACTTCACGCAAATCAGACCTGGCGCGAAAGCTTGAGATTTATTTTGTGGAGCTTGCCCTGATCTATCGGTTGATACCTCACTTGCTTATTTTCGTGCGCACGCTGCTGTGATGTTGCATGATAGAACACGATGCGACATTTTTTTCCGGACAACCTAATATATTCCACACTAGCTGGCTTACCCGGCTCCGCCGTATGTTCCGAATAGAAAATTCCATTTCTTAACCGATCCGGACCAAACTTGGCACACATACACTTCGGGCCCCGGCGGGTGCCACAGTCCACTTTTTGTTATCGACCGATGTCGATGTTATTGATTTTTTGCAAAATTTGAGGGGGGCTGGAATTTGGCAGGGGGTGTAATCGAGCGTGCTGATCACCCCCACGGGGGTGATCAGCATGCTCGATTACCCCCCTGTGCCACCTCCCAGCCCTGTAGCTCAAATTTTGCAAAAAATCGATAAAATCAATATCGATCGATGACGAAAAGTAGCCTATGACACTCGCTGGAGCCCGAAGTGTATGTGTGCCAAGTTTGGTCCCGATCGCTTCAGAAATGGACTTTTCTATTCGGAACATACGTACAGACAGACAGACATACAGACAGACAGACATACAGACAGACAGACAGACAAGCAGACATTCAGCTTTATATTAGGTTGGTTCATAATTAATGCTCTTTTTTCCTACCTCTTCTTTCAAACGCTAGTTTTCAATCAAAAATCGTTTTTCTCTAAAACCATCTACATTATCGGAAAGCTTGTTTCTTCTACTTTCAAACATATAAATACTTTCGTTTTCGGAGATCTTTGTTACCGAAGTTCTGTGCCTTTAAAGGTGAGAAACTCAAACTTGAAAATTTTTCCTTTCATTCGACTTGCCCTAATTCCATGAAAAATGCTCAAATTTATTCCAAAAATATATGTTATAATCGCGAAGATTTGTGCTACAAAATGCTCACCAAGGCTAAATTTTTTAGAAATCCTGAGCCGAGAAGCTTTGACTCGAACTTAGCTCAATGCTGGAATCACTCGCAGCTTTATAAAATGCTTACATGAGAAGCAATTAGAGAACTTTCACTTGGTTTTGGTAGAGTAGACCATGGACTACTAATAATAGGAAAACGGCAAAATTTTCTCACTTTTGAAATGAGAAAAATTGAAGGAATCTAAAAAATACAGATTTTTGCCTTCTCTAAAATGCAGAAAAAAGTGGTACTTTTGCTTTCTTGGCAATATTTTTTCGCAGAAAATTTTTGGTAAAAGCCAAGTTCCACGCTATTACTGAACCGACCATCGGCTACACAATGAGCAAAGTTTGTTCCAATCTAGTTCTTTTGAGGATAAGTTATGCTCCTTCAAACTAGAGCTTTCCAGAAAAAATTCTCGGTAAATTTTGAGCCGTAAAATCTTCCCCGTGATGTGTGCAATCACACAAAAGTATGCGTTGTATAGCTAAAAGTTTGCTGTCTATAATAGTTTTTGTTGCGTTCAGAAAGATTGTTTTGGAAAAGAATTATCTTCATTAGAAGTGGAAGTTGATAAAACGTGCATTAATTATGAACCAACCTAATATATAAGATGATACATTCATAAACGCCGCTGTGTTTGTTTCTGTGCTAGAAACCGAGAAAGCTAAAATTCTCAAGCTTCCAAAAAACAATACTGCGCTGTTCTCGCACAGATAAAAGACTACAAGCCTTTAGTAATACAATGACAGACTCTCAGCTTTCTATAAGCTCTACTTCCCAAAAAATAGTGATTTCAACATAAACTACCCAACAAAAGTAGCTAAATTCTGTGTTTCGCAAGAACTAGCTCTTCTAGGAAGCTAAAAATTTATCGATGTATCTCCGAAGGCCTGTAGTATACATTTACGCATGTGAGAACAGCGCAGCATTCTTTTTTGAAAGTTTCAAAATTCAAGTTTTCTCCTTTTCTAGTAACAAACACGGCAACGACATATATGAATGTATTATGTGGAGAGTATATGCGTAAGAGTTTGGAATCCGGTAAGCCTTCTTGGGACAAAGATGTAAAAAGATATAATTTTTTGGGCATCCGAAAGTTCTCAGATTTTGGCTTTACTCGTGATGTGCTGAGGCTGATGCGAACACTTACAATATATCTTGTAGAGCTTGCCGTTTTATCGATTGGTACTCTGCACTCTAGTTACTATTCAGAATTCTGTGACTTATTGCGGTAAAAATTTGAAAAAAAACTTATGAGACAGCCTAATATTTACATACTCAAGTGTATGGGTATTCTTGGAATCGTGACGACTGTTTCGATTGCCATCTTTGCGCACACAGGAGCATACGACACCCAAGCAGAAAACATTACCTCAACGATCACCTCAGCCAATCCCAGTATTCGAATACTATCATGTGTAAGCAGAAAACTGTCACGATTTTTCGAATGCCAGGTAGATGTATACAGTAGTAAGATATGCAGTCGCAATGCCTTCCGCCACGCTTAAAGATGATGAGAGAGAGATGTGAGAAGCAGTGATACAGTTTAGTTACCACAAATGCTGTTTACTAACCAAAAAAGTATCACTTCAAGCTTGCCTTCTGTACTTCGCATCACGGATTTCACCATAATGTTCAATTTCTAGTTGCTAGAACAGTGCGAGAGCCGTGTTGAACAACATAGCTTTGGTTGATTCTAACCATTCTCTATATACCCGCTCCTGTAACAAAAAAACATTGTGGATCAGTTGCGGGCATTGGAGCTCTGTGTTGCATGACAAACGAAATGCCAGCTTTTTCAAAAATATGTTGGAAATGAATAGATGGAAAACAATTCATGCTCAGCAGAGAATGGTCAAAACTTAATCCAGCTATACCACACATGCTGTATATCACCGGACTCGTCTTGAAACGTTGATCACAGAGTATGTTTGTTATCTACCAAGCGACTTAGGAGAAATTATGAGCGTTTAATTATGCGATTTGAAAACACTTGTTTAGATTTTCTTATTCCTTGTAATCAAAATAACCATAGCCACTGTAAATCCGCGCCATTAGGCTGCCTTTCTAGGAGATATACTTGTCGAAACCCGAAATTTTTTCAAAATTAAAGGCTCTAACTTCTTCCAGATAGTCGGTTGGCAAATAAAGAACATATATTTGAAAATATTCTATGATGAGTCCGTCAGATGATATACAGCTTGTTTGAAATGGCCGATTAAGTTCTGACCATTTTCTCGTCAATTCAACGCTTTCTCACTTTCATCCAACGCAGCTTCGTTGCGATACATCAATCCTTAGACTGCTTTAGGCATCCAAAAGA